TTGAAATTTATTGAAAAGATTTCTGGTACAGGATATTTTCACATTTTGATTTTATAAAAAACACATTAATTTCAAAATATAAGTTTTCCTAACATCCTAAATAAATTACATAAAATTAATTACATTCGTTACAGGCAAACTTTATAATTATAGCCTACATAACACCTTTTGACAGGCTAAATGCATCCAGCCTGTTTTTAAAGGAATTAATAGAAGGGGAACACACAACTTCTTCTGGAAGCTCATTCCATGATTTTACCACACAAATATAGACTAATCCCTTTTTTTCTGTTAACTAAACCGTTTTGTTCATTCACTCGCTCACTTAATTACTAAGTGCTCCATAAAATCTCCAATTTTAATGTTTCTCTCCCCCAAGAAAACACAAGGAAGACTCCCTTTTCTTGGAGGATTAACATATCTTTAAAGTTGTAAGTTAAAAAAAGTTTGTTTTTAATGAAAATTGCAAAGTGGAAACGGCACCCGTTTTGTAGAATGACTCAATAATAAAGCACTATTGTTCCAAGAAGAGTAAAACGCGATTTATATTTATTAGTATTGCTTTAATGTCTCACGTGGCACATCATAGGCTCAATGTAAAGTATTTAGCAGAATCTGTTCCAGTATGACACTGAGATCGATTCACATTAATTCCCCTCACAGATCTTAAACTTTGACTTGACGAAACAAACACGCAAACGAACACAAAATCTCTCAGGTCTGACTGAACTCCACATATTCTCCTCATGCTCGCTCCTGCTGCACTAAATGTTTATTTCAGAAGAAAAGTATCGCTGTGATCGACGAAAACAATACAGAAATGAGTCTGTCGCTTAAACAAACTGTATAAAGTGTGTGTGCTGGTTGTGTAAAGATGAGAAATACCGTGAACTGCTCTCCTCGCCTCAGAAGACTCGACGCTGAAACTCAATGAGGGAAGAAGAGAAGCTACTATCCTAGTGTGACCATACGTCCCCTTTTCCAGGACATGTCCTCTTTTTGCGTCCGGGATTCAGCTTTTGCTTTCTCCAGTCGCTGTTCATCATTGTGTGCGTGCGTTTGTGCATTGCTTTAAGTCCCGCCTTCTCGCACGCCACCATTGGTCGGTCCATAGACATAATAAAGACGCGCTATTGGCTGCTGGAGCATACGTCAACGGCGCCGCCATATTGCGGAGGGCAACTTTCCCACACACACCTTTTTTATTATTATTAAACATAAAGCATTAAGCAATACAGATAAACGTGGACAAAACAAAAAAAGACAATAAGATACACAGACATAAATATGTTGCCAGGGTAACAAAAAAACAAGAATGCAATGCATAGCCTACCTTAGGGGACAAAAAGGATGAATATAGAGATACAGTTTTCAATGCTTTGGGATTAGCAGAGCTTTGGATAGTTTCCATGTATCTGTCTAGATCATCTTTGAATAGAGAAAAGAGAGCTTTAGAGCCAGTACATTTTTGCTTTAATTTGGCTAGAAGGAAACACAAATTAATTATGTAATATTACACAAATGCAATAACATGTGGTTTGCAAAAACTTTAAACAAATAAGGTGCTTTATACCAGCAGTACAAACATTAATGTAATCAAATCAAATATTAAAACAAAGCTATTTGCCACTGCCAGGGCATAACCTTTTATCTAGCTTGTTAAAACGAGTCCATTTTTCTTGGTCTTTTTCTGAAAAGGAATCCAGAGGTGTCTTTTATCAGCGAGCAGCAGAAACAGTCTATGTAGGCAGAGGTCATGACCACTACTGCAGATATAAGTCGACCAACGTTACTTCTCTGATAGTAGCTTAGGTTTGGTCATGCCATGGTTTCCCACGTACACTAAGATTGCATTAAACAGAGGTAAAGCCCAATTTATACTTCTGCGTCGAACTTACGTCGTACCCTGACGTGCACCTCTCCAAAAATGTAACAACGCGTCAATTCTACGCGTACCGCAAGCGCTGTGATTGCTAGAACCGCTCCCCGGGTTTCACACGCTCCCTCTGCATGTGTAATTGCGCGTCAACGACGCAGAAGTAAAACCAACGCGTAGTCTATAGCGTAGAGGCTCCGGCGTAGGTCCGACGCAGAAGTGTAAATCAGCATAGAGTGAGGTGAAGTGGTCGAGCACAGGTGCAGCGACAAGCGGGTGCGTTCTGTGAAACTGTTGCGGTCATGCTCGCCTCACGCCCGCGCCCGCGCCCGCGCCCGCCAGTTGCCGAAGTGGCATTGTCTATAACGTTTTGTACACGACGCGCAGCACAAATCATTGTAAGAGAGACTGATCCTCAGGTAGCTTACAACAGGTTGAAATAATGATATGCAGTGGCTTTGCAATCACTTAACCACACTGGGCACTTTGTCTTGCTAGACTAGACGAGCAAAAGACTTCAGTTGACGTCTATTCACAGCCTTGAGTAGACATGCAAAAGACGTCAGTGGACGCCTTCACAACCCTTTTAAAAACTACTCGGGTAATTAAATTAATTATTGCAGTATTACCCATGCAAGGATTAAAGGTTCTCTAAGCGATGTCGGGTGACGTCACTTCTTGTTGACGTGTAAAGTATTGTCAAACAAAACGGAGGCTAGCTAGACCCTCCCTCCTCCTCATCCGCGCACTAACCCCCCAAACCCCGCCCCCAAGGCCTTCTTGTCGGTGATTGGCTGGAACAGTTTGTTGTGTTTCGGGGAGCGGGTTGGCCCAGTTTGTGTGTGTTGCTGTGTGTGGAGCCTGGGCTGTCTACAGAGATCGCGTGTGTTTACAGTGTGTTCAGGGGACGGGCAGCCAGCGGATAGTGAGGAGATGTTTGCTGTATGTGACAAAACATGTTTTGGCCTAAAAAACACGTGACATCGCTTAGAGCACCATATTTCACAAGGATTTCATAGAGTGTCATGATGGACTATAAATGCACGTGGAAAAGACGTCGCCAGGTGACGTCCTCTCACCCGATACACTATTGAACTACGTAGCTAAAAGTTAAAATAACAATTATACATGCAACCCCAGAGAACTGTAGACATGTAGCCTAAAAATGTATCTGAATGCAATTGTAGGAAATGTTCTGTGTTACATATTTTTACCGATTTATGCCGCCCTACCGCGACTATTTTTGGCCAGGGACACGACGTTGCTGTCGGACCAATGTTTGCTGGGAGAGAGCTGGTAAGATCATCTCGCGTTCAGCGTCTGCGACTACTTTCACTGTGATTTGCGATAGTTTGCACATTGCCTTGATGAATAGATGCTCATCTGTGGCGATGCGTGTTGCAGTAGTGTCGTCATATCAGACTATAACATGACATATAGCCTATAACACACTCACACGTTTATTTTTAAATAAACCATATTCGACAACATATAAAAATGAAATTATCTTTAGAGTTAGAATCTCCATCTCCAGTCACTTGCAATAATAATAATAATAATAAACTCAATGGATGGATACTACACTGTAAATTCGAACAAGTTCAGTTTACTTAAAAAAAAATTTGGAAACCGATTTCCTTATTTTTGCAAACCAAACTTAAAGGGAAAACTGAAGTTAATTTAATAATCGGCTAAAAGTTTATCTTTAGAATAATCAGCTTTGATTTTGGTATATAATTAGTGTAAACAGGCTATTGCAACATGACAAAAACACCAAGAATGCTTTACTTTTATGTCAATATCTGTATTTTTCCGTGAAAATATTTGTGCGATCTCTCAGCCTCGTGTGGCTCGTAATTTCCACGCCCCCGCCATCACTTGCAGATCCATGTAGGGCTAATGTGCACTGCCTACGCAACTAATCATAGCTTATAAACTACTGTAAGTCAGCAACACATCCCAGACTCTCAAACCAGTGTAACGTTAGAACTAAATGAAACAACAATAATCCTGTAACCTGTTTGCCAGACAATGTTACTAATTAACGTAATGGAAGCCAGCGGCACGTAAATTATTACGTTAATCGACCACCACAAGTTTGGCAATTAAACAAACGCTCATTAATATTTCATAAGGAAGACAGTCGGAGTTAACCTCCCGTAACGTTAGGTTGTAGCTAAAGCAAGAAGCAAGCTAACGGTAGATGGTCAATGCTGAGCTAAACATGTTTACTGACCTCAGGGTGTGCTTTCAGATGCCTGATGAAATTAGGTGTGGTTGAGCCAGAATTTTTTATCCTGATACCGTATATTTAGCATTGAGCGCTTCTTTTGTTTGGGCCGTCTTGTTTGAAGTTTTTAAACCCAAAGCTTACAATGAATGGCACAGCAGCGGCCGGTGCAGTTGACATGTTTGTTTGTTGTTGTGTGTGGTCGCGCGCGCAGCCGATACGTAGTACGCGTTACGTAGGCAGGTTATAGGTAACGGAGGGAGGGGAATAACAGCGAGCTCATCAGACGTTTCCTAAAAATAAACATTGTTCACGAGTCCCGCAGCTCGAGGCCGAGTCGAGTCTGAAGTCTTTCGAGGACGAGTCTCAAGTCGAGTCTGAAGTCACTGTGTGTGCGACTTAGGTCGCACTCGAGTCCGAGTCTCAAACTCGAGTCCCCATCTCTGTAATCAACTGAACAGAGCTAATAAGAAGTTATACAATACATTTTAATTACCAACAGGAAATGAAGTAAATGCCTGCTTTCACAATATCTTTTAGTTATCCACAGGTAAAAAACACTTTTTTTTGTGCAACATTTTGACAAAAACAGAATTGAAGACAATTATGACAAAAATCAGTCAAGGCAAATCAAACACAGAGACAATAGAACTAAAGATGTTCTTTATCAGATCTACTGTGTCCATCTCTTGCACATCTTCCCAAACTCAACACAGTGATGAACACATGAGCTCCAGGTGACAACATCCAAACACATTTCAGTATTTATTTACTGTTGATCATGTGTCAGTGTCAGAGAGACCTGGAGTCTCAACAACAGCTCCTGATCGACCATCAACTTCACCAACTCTCTCTTCACACACTCGTGACTGAATCTAGTCTTCATTCACTCACACACTCATCTCTTCCCAGAATACTGTTTCCTGTTGCACTCTTCCCATTTCCTGTCTTCCCGATCAGAGCAATCCTCAGACACTCCTGATCCTCTGATGGACCTTCAGCTCCTGAAAATCACAGCGGTAGAAAGAAGACTTAGAGGAATGAAGATCACAACTTTAACATTGTTGTGTTGTAGAAGTTGCAGCTGAATGATAATTGATTATGAACTGGAAAAACAACAACATCTCCAGTCACTTGCAATAATAATAATAATAATAATAAACTCAATGGATGGATACTACACTGTAAATTCGAACAAGTTCAGTTTACTTAAAAAAAAGTTTGGAAACCGATTGCCTTATTTTTGCAAAGCAAACTTAAAGGGAAAACTGAAGTTAACTTAATAATCGGCTAAAAGTAAAGAAAGCTAACTCTTCCCAAGTAAATTAAGTATAAATATCAAGTTACTTTAATGTCAATTCTAGTTAACATACTAAATAATATTTACTAATCTACTTAAGATTTAATAGTAAGATTACTGGAGTAATTCCATTTAACTAACAGTGTTATAATGTGTTCTGCAAACAACTTAAATACTATTATTCTCAACATGGTTTTAATCTGCCATTTTAAGCTATGGAGACTTAAAAAAATATGTGCAATCGGTTTCCACATTTTCTTCAAGTAAAGTGAAATAGGAATAGTATGTTGAACTGACAAATGCTTAGTATAGTTCACTTACACAAGAGTTCTAGACACTAAAAAAGAACTGTAGAGAGTACTTGATAATTTACTTTAAATACAATTTAATTGTTACCATTGTTGCTTGGCATGCTGAGCGTTGAAGTCTGTAACTCAAGCATGATCAATTACAAGATTGTCACTTTTATATTTAACTTTTATATGGGACTATATAAACTTAATTAAAAGTTTCACAAGGTGTTTAGGACATAAGTGCTTTTTGTTTTTATTAAAGATCATTAATTGACATGAAATCTAGTTATACATCAATCATACACACAAACATATATATACATATGTATACATATATGTGTGTGTGTGTATATATACAGTATATATATACATATATATGTATAGCCATAATGGTGACTAAAAACATTTTAGGAAAATCAGCATTAATTTATGAAATCAGCTTATGTTATGTTCTCTCAAAATTGACAATTCAACATTCAAGATGACTTTGGGAAATGAGTGAATGCAAACAGAGAAAAATAACTGCAGAAATGGAGGAAATTAGTGAAAAGTCCATTAAGATTTTTCCCGCCACAAAAACCACACTCAAACCAATCAATTAATCTTTACTTGGGTTTTCTGAGTAAAACAAAGCATAGTGTGTGAATACATATTACTAGATTTTTACAATTAAGTTACGACATTAAGTAAAGTTAATGTCAAAAAAGTGTTAGTTAGAATCACTGTTGGATTTATAAAGTCTAGTCAAGTAATGTTTACTTGGGTTTTCTGAGTAACAAAGGCATAGCATGCAAACAGTACAGATTACTAAATTGTTTTAAGTAAATTCAACAAATTATTGGACATTAAGCCTCGCTCTACATTATCCCGCTTATTACATGGCTACCTACCAAATAAATCAATAATTTGACTCAAAATATTGATTTAAAATGGAGTTCATTGATTTAAAAACGATTGTATTGCTTCCGCTAAAGAAAATAGTCCGTTCTACGGTTAGAATCCATGGCAACGGTGTGTTACTAAGCAGCGTCTGTTATCAAGAAATAACACACCACATTCTACATTAGAATTCAACCAAGCCATGTAATAAATCGCATTATAAAACGGTTAGTTCCAATCTTTGATTCTGATTGGTCAATAGCTGTGTTTTATTCACGATTAAACACGGCTAAGACCGCTTTACCCAATGGTTCTATGTATCACTCCACAACACCCTTAGCAACCACCCGTAGCAACGTAAACACTTGTTTGATCTCATTGATATTGTTCATTTCAGCTAGAGTAGAGTATTGTGAGAGATCCAGTAAGCGAGTGTTCCTGCATTTACAGTAGACATAGCATTTTGCTTCAGGTCAGTCCTATATTCATAATACAAAAATCCGTTTGAAAGTCCGCTGCGATATCTTGTCCTTTTAACAGTTATGGGGTTTTCCGTTCCGATAGTCATCTGTCAGTTGCGTCTTTCTTCTCCGTGATCACAAGTTTGAATCCTTTCAATATAAAAGTCTTCTCTACTGACTGACTCACTCATAAGGACAGTCTTTGCCGCCATCTATTGGCGAAATAATGTAAATACATTCTGTTGCTGTTTACGGTCAGGGACTATTTTTTCCAGCGGAGGGAAGGCTTTTAGTGATTTTACTTCATGAAAGTTGCATAGATACATATTTTTGAGCTTTAATATTTTTTTTTGTCTGGTAACCGTTTTATAAAAGCAATAAGGTACTGGAGGCTAGTGCTGTATGGTGAATAAGTCACGGCTGAAGGGGTTACTCCGCTTCGCGTCGAGCCTAACAACGCCCTTCAGCCGTGACTCCGTCACCATACAGCACAGCCTCTCGAACCTTATTGCTTACATAATCTTTGTGCTTTGTTACTACTGATATGAAACAAAGTCTCAGATTTCAAATTCTATTTTCTTACGAAATTCAAAAACATAAATAGCGCTGTGGCGTGAGATCGCTCTGGCTCAGCTCAAGAGAAGCACATGATCTCCTCGTCCACCTTAATAATACCAGTTACATAAATAAATAAACATGAATGTGTGTTAAAGATAGAGTGCAACTTATCGAGATCCGTATCATGTCACATGGAATCGCTCAATCAGTGTTTCAGCCGTGGAAAGACGTCAGTTAAACAGCTTGTGAACAATGTCATGTAACGTCACATTTACCTCATAAAAAACATATGACCATAAACTCATTGGTCAGTAGGGGTGTAAATCGGACAGTTCATCACGATATGATATGATACGATATCGATTCTCTCAGCCAGCGATACGATATTTGCCGATACCTCAAAAAATTCTGCGATAAGATTACGATTCGATTCAGGGCTATCAATCGATTTATCGATATTTTGAATAAAGCTAGTAAGTTTTTATGACAGCCACCATTTAAATGTTTATATTTCATATAACTATTATTTAAAAAGAAAAAAAAAAGTGTCATTTAAGTGTTTGTATAGAAATAAGTTATTTTTACCTTCAATATTATAGTGGGCTAATGAAGCCTATAGGCTACAACTGACTCCAATAGTTTACAGCATTAGTTCAGAGATTTGTTTTCTTATGTATTGTACCTGATATACCAAATAATCAATATTGAATCGAAATCTAATCGAATTGCAAGCTTGTGAATCGAAATCGAATCGAATTGTGAAATGTGTGTCAATACCCAGCCCTGATGAATACCCAGTGTTATGGAAATTGTTTTTTTAATGCATTATTTTATTCATATTAATGATCTTTCGCTATAATAAATCATGTACTTTCCCAATAAGGCAGAGAAAGGTTCAGTTGGGTAAGAGCCTGGGCTATGGCCTATGTTATGCATGCTCTGAGATAAAGAGGAGAGAGCACTCTCACATTCTCCTGACTGACTCTGAGCCTTTCTTGCAAGAAATTAACCATTATAATCATTGATTGAACATTTGTCCCTTATTCAGAATTGTTTATTGTTGTTAATAGAACGTCATTTAAAGGTGTCACGTTGAGTGTGTTTGCTGTTTTGAGTTCGCTTATGATCCGTTTCCCGTTCTGTGATTGTCTGTATCAAGGTTTATTTGATCCTTCACCTGTTGTCTTAATTACTCATTAGTTCACTTGCCCCAGCTGTGTCTCGTTTCCCTGATCTGTTCTGTGTGTTTAAGAACAGCGACTTAATGACATCATCAATGTTAGCCCAGCTTCAGTCTGCCGCATGGAAGATAGCTGTCCGTTAGTGTGCTTTCATCATAAGCAATCTGCTAACTTTCTTGTCTTTCGCGAGATATCGTTGGTATGTATATTTATGTTAAGATATGATTCAACTATGTTTGATTTTATTTTGTGTTTAGAGTAAGATTTCACTCGGATCCTTATGCTGATATGTGCAGGGGCGCAACTACCCAGTGTCAGAGGGGTATGCAGCATTTTGGGTTTCAGGTTCCTCTTCATGATGGCCAGTGCTAGAATCATCACCATGAAATCTCTTTTACTTTCTGAAACGTCTCTCTCTAAACTCAGGGGAAGCATCCATCTCAATGGCTATTCGGCGTTCAATGGCTATTCGGCGTTCAATGGCTATTCGGCGTTCAATGGCTATTCGGCATTCAATGGCTATTCGGCGTTCAATGGCTATTCGGCGTTCAATGTCAAGGGATTTTTGAAAGCCCTCCACTTTATACTAGAATATGCAAGAATTCTTCAAGAGAGTCTATCATTCCAAAGGCAGTGTTCATCGAGATGTTCACTGCTGACATAGGTGATCTCTGACAAAAGATCATACCAAACCAGGGGGCACATGAGGAACTCCATGCTGACAATCTCGCCAGACAGCGACTTTGCCTCAGAGACAGGTTTGCCGTCTTTTTCCACTTCCTCAAGCTTTTCCACAGCATCAATAATCCCCCTTAACTGGAAACGTACAGCTTTGACGGAGTTTATTTTTGCTGCCCACCTGGTATCACTCAGAGGCTTCAGTGTAATGTCCACATTCTTTCAGAATATCCCACCTCTTCACCAAAAAATGGTGTACAGTCTTTGGAGAGTGCCAAAAAAGGTTGGACACACACTGTTTGATGACGCAGCATCACATAACAGGAGGTTCAGACTGTGGTTACAGCAGGGGATAAATAGTGCCTCTGGACTAGAGGTCTGCACAGGCTTCAAACTTTAGCCCAAACCCGGCCCGTACCCAAAATCATTTAACCCGACCCGAACATTACGGTTATATTTTAGGCCTGAACCCGAGGTCCGTTTCTCAAAGTAAATCCCTTTTTTTGTGTGTGCAATACGCTGTATTTTATGATTTCTTAAAACTATAATTAAAAATAGGCTACATGTACAAACACTGTTTCACCAAGGCACAGCGGCCCCCTCAGCAGTCGGCAGCACTCAAGAAAAGAGAAAAAGCACGGACTTGCTAATTACGAAACTTTGATGTGGTTGAACAGGTGAAACAGTCACAAATTCCCCTGGAACCCAAACATTAAACTTCAAAACAAAGTTTGCACAACTATTTACACAAATATATCCTACTCAGTACTAGTACCGAGTACTAGTTCTAGTACTTCTCAGTAGACTACGAGTTATGAAGGCAGAGAACAGCATTGAGAGTTGATGGTTTCAGCGCCGCCCTCTGACTGCGATGTTGTGTCTGAAATAGCGCGCACAGGTGCACTAAACAGTTTTGTAACATGATATAGGCTATGATCAAATAATTATTTATATATGATTTTACAAAACTGTTTTGCGCATGTGCTCCCTTGCGCACTATTTCGGTCACAACACCGCAATCAGAGGAGGACGGCTGAAACTGCGCACGCAACCTACTTTCTCTCTTGGGTGCTCATATAATTACGATAACAACACAGCAAGCAGCCAAGCACACGGCACGCAGGCTATATATATGTATGGCCTATAGAGTATTTCTAAGTTACAAACCTGAACCAGACCCGAACCTATTAGGGTTACTTCCTGCTCAGCTACTGTATGGACGCTCTTGCTTACTGCTCCGAGCTTTGCTCTATCGCTTTTATATTTTTTATTGCTCTATCGTGTTTATATTTTTATATTTTATTTCCTTTTATCACCTAATTTTAACTTCAGCAAATCAGCACAGTGCTCAAACACCTGATTACTAGAAAAAAGCAGAATTATTTTTTTCCGACCAGCCTCCCACTGAAAGCTTACATTCCGGGGAAGAGAAAACACAACTGCCTACATTCATAAGGATAGGAGAAAATGCCTCTTCTGGAATCTACTTGCTGCACTAACTGCCAGAGACTTTTACAAAGGATTGCAGTTCTTGAAACAAAGTTACTTGTGGGACCACCAAACCAGACGGAACACACAACAGAGCTTCATCATGGACGCCATCAGCATGCCGGTGAGTCCCATAAATCTAGTGCTCCAATACAAGCCATACTGAGTGTAGAGAAACAAGCCGATCGACTTACAAATCGATGGCACAAACAGGGAGCGAGACCCAAAGGCACTCGAGACATCAGATTGTCACGAGCATCCCATATTGCCGCAGTAGCATCCTCTACCCCAGATACGGCTCTGACAAGAATTGCAAACACTGGTCTCCCACCACCGCCTATACATCTTGAGAACAGATTTGAAGTATTAATGAATGAGGAATCCCTGAATGTGATGAATGTGATCGAACACAGACTGAATAAGCCAGTAGCTAACACTGCTAACTGGCGCTCAAGGTCGAGCAGACAGCGGCACTCAGCTCAGAGCGCAGCCGAGCACAGGACTCTGATAGTGGGTGACTCCATAATCAGAAACATTATTAGCAGGGATACAACTACGTGCTGCCTTCCACAAGCAACAACTTCTGATGTAAATAGGGAACTTAAGAACATTCTGATGAAACATAAGACTGCAAATCGACTCATCATTCATGTGGGGAAAAATGATATTCATAAAGAGCAGTCAGAACTCCTTAAGAAGGATTTTAATTAACTTTTTGAAACACTGAAAAGACTGAAAGTTCAGACATTCATCAGTGGACCACTCCCAGCAAGAGGAACAAACAGGTTTTCACGGTTGCTTGGGCTCAACACATGGCTGCAAAAAAACTGCAATATAAAAGGAGTGAACTTCATTGACAACTTCAATCTTTTCTGGAGTCAGAGGCAACTGTTTCAACAGGATGGGCTCCACCCAAAACAAACTTGGTTCAAGAGTGCTAAAGGACAATATCTACTTCTCCCTCCATCATCCTTCTGCAGTGTGTGCCAATCCACTCCACCTGAATGGCACACACACACCTGGACACAGTATGAATGACCACAGGACTTCACTTCAGTACCTGAATGGACATGCGGTTGACACATCACACAAGGACAATGATAACACCACTCAGCCACAACAACCTCTGCTCACGGACACAATCTCAGCTGAGCCCTGCCCACAGAGCTCACCACAGACAGACTGTGACATGCTAGAACTGCTAGAAGATTCAGCACCCAAGGACGACTTTCTGGAAAACAGCCAGGAAATCCAGGACGGCATACTACGGCCTCCGATAACACCAGAACAACAGCCCCTCTCACCAGACACGTTATCCCTCTCTCCAGCAACTCCACTTCTGTGCTTCTCAGAGAAAATGGAACAACTGGTGTATGCTGGAACCAACCTATCCCACTCTTTTGCTGCAAGCCCCCAGATGTCAACCAAAAAACGGCAGGCCCCACAACCACCAAAGCCTGCGGGCCCAGCTCGCCCTCCCCCTCCTCCTGTGAGAGCTCTTCGGCCTCTGCCACAGCGCCAGGGCCCACACCCTCCTCCAGCGGCTCGCGGTGAACCAAAAACAACTGATACCAGCTCTCAGTGATACGTGTCGGGTCCCCGCTATGATAACAGTAACTTTCTTAAATGTTTACAAAACAAGCGGGAACCCAGTGTGCCTGAATCTTTCTCTATTGCTGTTCAATTACATGATAGAAAATCTAAGGCCTTCAAAAGCCGTACAGCAAACCCATCTAATCTGGTGCCTATTACACGCCAAACTAAGATCGCTGTGGGGACAAAAAGTAAGACTGTTAAGTTAGCACTTTTAAACATCCGCTCACTTAAAAATAAATCACTTCTAGTCAACGACTTAATAACCACATATAACCTGGACTTTATGTTTCTAAATGAAACTTGGCTAGAAGACAGCAGCAGTGCAACAGTCCTCAATGAATCATCCCCTCCTAACTTTACTTTTATGAGTGTTTGCAGAGCGGGTAAGAGAGGCGGGGGCTTAGCTGCTCTTTTTAAAGATGTCTATCAATGTAAGCAAATATCATTTGGGAATTACCCGTCTTTCGAATATCTGGGTATTGTGTTAAAAGGTGCTCCACGTATTTTACTTATCATTATTTACAGGCCTCCAAAATACTCTCCAGCCTTTGCTGAGGACTTTACAGAACTGCTATCAACCATCTCCTCAGAGTTTGACTGTTTTGCCATTGCTGGAGATTTTAACATTCACATAGATAATGCAGAAACCAATATGGCAAAAGAAATCAAAACTGTTTTCAAAACTTTTGATCTGACTCAGCATGTACATGGACCCACACATAATCGTGGACACACTCTAGATTTACTTATCAGTAAGGGTCTAAACATCTCATCGATTGTTATTAAGGATGTAGCTTTGATATATTGATGTATTTGATGTATTTTCTTTGATATATTGATCTCCCCTGCCATTGAAGCTAGATCTGTGTCAGTCAAGAAGAGATGCTTAAATGAGAACATTAGTGTGCTATTTATGAAGGTTATATCTTTAAAACCAAGCATATCTGATGACTCTGTTGATTTTCTCCTTGAATCTTTTAACTCAAAAATTAAAAGTGTAATTGATGATATTGCTCCTGTGAAAGTCAGGAAAAATAGTGGTAGACAAAAAGCACCTTGGAGAAACTCAACAGCTGTGCAAAATATGAAAAGACAATGCAGAAGAGTAGAGTGCATGTGGCGGAAGACTAAACTTGTAGTCCATTATAACATCTACAAAGACAGCATCCATGCTTTTAATATTGAACTAGGCAAAGCTAGACAGACTTTCTTCTCGAATATTATAAACAGCAACTTAAACAACACACGCACTCTTTTTGCTACTGTAGAGAGACTGACAAACCCCCCAAGCCAGATTCCCAGTGAAATGCTCTCAGACAGCAAGTGCAGTGAGTTTGCTTCTTTCTTCTCTGAGAAAATCTATAATATCAGAAAGGTGATCAGCCCATCATTGAGCCGCACTGGGGTCAGACAGATCAGACCACAACCTGAGAAAGTAGTTACTATGTCTGTTTTCGAAGAAATTGAAGGCCCAATTTTGGAAGAAACCGTACAGCACCTTAAAACATTAACCTGCGCCCTTGACGCACTTCCCACATCTTTTTTCAAAAGTGTGTTAAACAGCTTAGAAGCAGATCTCCTAGAAGTGGTAAATGCCTCACTTCTCTCTGGGAGTTTTCCAAACTCCCTGAAAACTGCAGTTGTCAAGCCCCTCCTGAAAAAGAGCAATCTGGATAAGACCATCTTAAGCAATTATAGACCGATCTCAAATCTTCCTTTCATAGGCAAGATCATTGAAAAAGTTGTCTTCAATCAGCTGAACAAATTCTTAAGCTTGAATGGATACTTTGACAATTTTCAATCTGGTTTCCGATAGCATCACAGCACAGAGACAGCTCTCATTAAGATAATAAACGATATTCGCTTAAATACTGATACAGGGAAATTATCAGTGCTGGTACTACTCGACCTCAGTGCTGCATTTGACACTGTCGATCACAACATACTTCTTGACAGGCTGGAAAACTGGGTGGGGCTTTCTGGGATAGTCCTAAAATGGTTCAGATCATACTAAGAAGGGAGAGGTTATTATGTGAGTATAGGAGACCATAAGTCTGAGTGGACATCCATGACATGCGGAGTCCCCCAAGGCTCAATTCTTGCACCACTCCTATTCAACCTGTATATGCTCCCAATGAGCCAAATAATGAGAAAGAACCGAATCTCTTACCACAGCTATGCAGACGACACACAGCTCTACTTAGCCCTATCGCCTAACGACTACAGCCCCATTGACTCCCTGTGCCAATGCATTGATGAAGTAAACGGTTGGATGTGCCAAAACTTTCTTCAGTTAAACAAAGACAAAACTGAAGTCATTGCGTTTGGAAACAAAGATGAAGTTCTCAAGGTGAATGCATACCTTGACTATAGGGGTCTAACAACTAAAAATCAAGTCAGGAATCTTGGTGTGTCTCTAGAGTCAGACCTTAGTTTCAGTAGTCATGTCAAAGCAATTACTAAATCAGCATACTATCATCTGAAAAATATTGCAAGAATTAGATGCTTTGTTTCCAGTCAAGACTTAGAGAAACTTGTGCATGCTTTCATCACCAGCAGGGTGGATTATTGTAATGGACTCCTCACTGGCCTTCCTAAAAAGACCATAAGACAGTTGCAGCTCAGAACGCTGCTGCCAGGCTTCTGAGCAGGACCAAGAAATATGAACATATCACACCAGTCCTCAGGTCTTTACACTGGCTCCCAGTTACATTTAGGATTGATTTTAAAGTATTATGACTGGTATATAAATCATTCAATGGCCTAGGACCTCAATATATTGCAGATATGCTCACTGAATATTAACCAAACAGATCACTCAGATCATTAGGATCACATCAGCTAGAAATACCAAGGGTTCACTCTAAGCAAGGAGAGTCTGCTTTTAGCTATTATGCTGAACCAGCTTCCAGAGGAGATCATATGTGCTCCTACAGTAGTCACATTCAAATCCAGACTCAAAACACATCTGTTTAGCTATGCATTTACTGAATGAGCACTGTGCCACTGTTCGTCCGACTGTTTTTACTGTACTTTATTTTATTCTTTATTCTAAACTGTTTTAATTATTCTTATTTGTTTTGATTATTTTATTTTCTCCTATGTAAAGCACTTTGAATTACCATTGTGTATGAAATGTGCTATATAAATAAACTTGCCTTGCCTATTAATTAAACATTAGGCTATTTATTAAACATTAACCCGACCCCGACCCGAAACCAGTGAGTTTTTCGGGACCCGTCGGGCTCGGGTCGGGTAGCAGACCTCTACTCTGGACACTTCTGCTGCACCAATGCTTGCACACCCTTGTGTATACCCCTATATTTGAGCCATTGTCAAAGCCTTGCCCCTACAGTTAGCCAACTCCAACCCCAGGTTATCCAGCACCCCAGTCAGTGTTTCTGTGAGGCCTTTACCAGTTGTGTCCTTCACGACTGTGAAGCCAACAAAAGATTGATGGTGGCATTCTTGGTGGATGGTGGAGTGCACCAGGAAGGATATCCTGTGGTTTCTTTAGAGGCTACCTTTCTAAGATGCTCTGCTAGTGTGACTATGACATCAAGGACACCCAGGAACTTTCCATTTTTAGGATCTCCTAACTTAGCAATCTTCCCCCTCAGTGGCAAGTTCCTTTCTGCAAGGAAGAGTATGCAGTCGATCACTCTCGTTAACACTTCTCCAGCGTGCCTTTTCAGCATCTATGGCTCTTTGCAATGTTCTGTCAATAGTTTTACCAAGGCGTAAGCGTGATGCTAATTCTTTCCACAACAGATAAGCATGTATGTGATCACCACTGGTTTTATGGTGTTGCAGCGTTTTTGAAAGACACTGAAAGTTATTGTACCCCACCACAAAGCGTGTGTCAACAACTCTAGCTCCACCAAAAAGCTTACACGCCAAACAATACACTTTATTTGTGCTTTTGGAGTACAGTAACCAATCCCACTGCATTTTTCCTCCATTGGACATTAAACGAAAACAGTATGCTTTGGAAAAACACTGTCTACTCTTGTCTGATCTTGGATATGGCCCATCAGGGCATTTCTGTGGGCCATTCTCAACCATACACAGCCTAAATGAGTCCCCAATCTGGTGTGGTGGAAGCCAGTCAGATGGATCTTCTGAGTAAGGCCTGGTCTCAGCCCTCTCCTCTTCACCTCTCTGTTCCTCATTCTCTTCCACCTCATCCACATTCTCTTCCACCTACTCTGAGCAATGCCTGAACTTTGTATTTTGAGCACTTCTTGCGTAGTTTTTTGCCTCTTCACAATGACTCGCTTGCTTTAGTCCTCAGTTGTAAGTCTGCTATAATAAAAGCGTCTGCTAAATGACTAAATGTAAACCTCATCTTCACCTCTCTTTTCCACATTCTCCTCCAATTCCTCCTCAGTGGTGAGTGGCTTTCCATCTCTGTCTGCACTATTTTTTACCCAAAAAGGACACAGTGAATAGGTTGGTCAACAGAACTTCAAACCATACTGGACATTTAGTTTTGTGTGGTCTAACTAATAGAACTCCTACCTGATGTCATCACTGGTCTCATCTATACTCTATGTCATCGCCGACCTCATGTCGGTCTCTTTTTCTCCTTGCCTGTGTTCTTCTCCACTAAGACATATTGTCAAACAAACAAAAACAATCTATACAATGTAATAGATTTTCCATATTACTTTTTCCATATTACTAATAATAAGAGATGAATCTGTTGGTATCAAGTGGCTGCCCTACACTTCCACCTAATGTTAGACCTACCTGTTGCCTTCCCCTGTCTTTCCTGATCCACCATCCTCACACCTGAATGAAATGTCCTGAAAAAGTCCTGGCAGAAGGCGATGCATAAGGATGTAGCGTAACGACGAATTATTATTATTTCAACTTAGTGCTAACTAATAATTGTTGCAAACTGGTACAACCAAGTTGTCAACAGTTCGGAAAAAATAATTTGACGTTACGCTACATCCTTATGCATCACTTTCTGCCAGGACTTTTACGTGCTTTTCCCAAATCACTGAAGTGACCTCGACGTCCGGGTTAGCAGTAGCATGAATCTGCCAGCGCTGTGTAGTAATGTTGTTGCGTGATCGAGATCGGACCACGAGTAAACCGCTGTCTAGTATTGCTCCAAGCTGATAAACTGTTTGCGCTGCGCAGCTCAAACAAGTAGAGTGGTTTCATTCTGCTTTCGTTTGCCGTGTGCCAGGGAAAAAAAGGTTGCAAAATGTGACCATTTAGTCGCAGTCTAGAGCCCTATGTAGTGCTGTATTTCTGCTTTACATGGGTGCCACCTACTGTCAGAGCGAATTTGCATTGATCTGAACTGACAAAATAGACATTCCTGTTGCTTGAACACAAGTTAATAGATATCAATCAACAAAGTGTCCTATGCTCACCACACATCAGCTATAGATGGAGAGGAGAGATTTGGCTATAGGGTGATGTGTGTCTGACTTGCACAGAAGAGACTTTGTTGCTCAGCATATGAAAATAAACTACTTACCGTGATCTCAGACTGTGTTTAAGTGGTTTCTCCACTGTATGGATCTTCATATGTAGCTTCAGGTTACTTTTAACAGAGAAACTCTTCCCGCACTGATCACACGTGTGTGGCTTCTCTCCAGTGTGGGTCCTCTCATGTGTTTTCAGATTTGATGAGTTACTGAATCTCTTGTCACAGTGTGAACACTTGTAAGGTTTTTCTCCAGTGTGGATCATCTCATGCTTTTTCAGAGTTGCTGATTGACTGAATCTCTTGTCACAGTGTGAACACTTGTGAGGTTTTTCTCCAGTGTGGATCCTCTCATGTATTTTCAGATTTGCTGATTGACTGAATCTCTTGTCACAGTGTGAACACTTGTAAGGTTGTTCTCCAGTGTGGATCCTCTCATGCTTTTTCAGAGATGATGACTGACTGAATCTCTTGTCACAGTGTGAACACTTGTAAGGTTGTTCTCCAGTGTGGATCATCTCATGTGCTTTCAGAGATGATGAGTGATTGAATCTCTGGTCACAGTGTGGACACTTGTAAGGTTGTTCTCCAGTGTGGATCATCTCGTGTGATCTCAGATTTGCTGATAGATTGAATCTCTTGTCACAGTGTGAACACTTGTAAGGTTGTTCTCCAGTGTGGATCCTCTCATGTCTATTCAGATGTTCCAACAGACCGAATCTCTTGTCACAGTGTGAACACTTGTAAGGTTTTTCTCCAGTGTGGATCCTTTCATGCGTTTTCAGATTTGATGACTGACTGAATCTCTTGTTGCAGTGTGAACACTTGTAAGGTTTTTCTCCAGTGTGAATTCTCTGGTGCAGTTTTAAAATGTTTGCTGTAGTAAAAGTCTTCTCACAGTCAAAGCAAATGGTCTCTTTCACACCAGTATGAACTTTCTGATGTGCGTGTAAATATGTCAGCAGTGAAAAACTCTTTCCACACACAGAACATGAATGTGGCTTCTCCCTAGTATAAACTCTCAGGTGTTTCTTCAGGCCTGATGAACTAGGAAATGTCCTGCCCCATTGATAACATGGGAACAGCTCCTCTCCAGTGTGGATCCTCATGTGAATCTCAAGATTTTGTTTGGTTGTGAAACTGTTTCCACACTGAGTGCATGTGAAAGATTTTCCTCCAGTTTGGACATGATGTTCCTCCACACTCAGTTCTTCACTCTCCTCCTTCACTTCACTCAGTTCTTCACTCTCCTCCTTCACTTCACTCAGTTCTTCACTCTCCTCCTTCACTTCACTCAGTTCTTCACTCTCCTCCTTCACTTCACTCAGTTCTTCTCTCTCCTCCTTCACTTCACTCAGTTCTTCACTCTCCTCCTTCACTTCACTCAGTTCTTCACTCTCCTCCTTCACTTCACTCAGTTCTTCTCTCTCCTCCTTCACTTCACTCAGTTCTTCTCTCTCCTCCTTCACTTTACTCAGTTCTTCACTCTCCTCCTTCACTTCACTCAGTTCTTCTCTCTCCTCCTTCATTTCACTCAGTTCTTCTCTCTCCTCCTTCACTTTACTCAGTTCTTCACTCTCCTCCTTCACTTCACTCAGTTCTTCTCTCTCCTCCTTCACTCCACTCAGTTCTTCACTCTCCTCCTTCACTCCACTCAGTTCTTCACTCTCCTCCTTCACTTCACTCAGTTCTTCACTCTCCTCCTTCACTTCCATCAGGTCTGACATGAAAGAAAAAAATATTAAATTTATTTTTCAGTACATCAATATAATTAACCGAGAGAAATATAAAGTGAAAGGACATGAGGAATGTGGGCACATGCGCAAGAGAGAGACAATGGGAAGACAGAAACAATCTTTAATACAGACTTTGCTGCATTAATCATAGACTAACTGATCTATAAATGAACATGCATCCCAGAAACTGTGTGAATGATTTACTGTCTTGTGTACTATGTATATACTATGGTGGTACGTGGTACAACGAGCACACCCGGGCCCTTAAGAGAGCAGCCAGAAAAATGGAGCGAAACTGGAAGAAAACAAAACTAGAGGTATTTCGGATTGCATGAAAGGAGAGCTCGATTGCATACAGAGAGGCTTTAAAAACTGCTAGATCTGCTTATTTTTCAACCCTATTAGAAGACAATAAACATAATCCTAGGTATTTATTTGAAACAGTGGCTAAACTAACGAAAAAGAAAACTTCAAGCCCAGAAATGTCCAAGCAACACAGCAGTAATGACTTTATGAACTTCTTCACTTATAAGATTGATAATATCAGGGACAAAATTATAACTATGCAACCGTCTACAGTATCGCAGGGAGTGCATTGTAGTCTCCCTGAGGAAAAATTTGATTCATTTGTTGCCATAAGAGAGGACGAATTTTCTAAACTTGTTAATTCATCTAAATCGACAACTTGTATGTTAGACCCTATACCGACTAAGCTACTGAAAGAGATGCTTCCAGAGGTCATATATCCTCTTCTTAATATCATTAATTCGTCTTTGTCTCTAGGATACGTACCAAAAACCTTTAAACTGGCTATGATAAAACCGCTTGTTAAAAAACTGCAACTTGATCATACAAAATTAGTCAATTACAGGCCGATCTCAAATCTGCCTTTTCTGTCAAAGATATTAGAAAAAGCAGTATCCTCACAACTATGTTCCTTTTTAGAAGGAAATGATATCTGGAGGATTTTCAGTCCGGATTTAGACCGTACCATAGCACTGAGACCGCTCTCATTAGAGTCACAAATGATTTGCTCTTATCATCCGATCGTGGCTGTATCTCTCTATTAGTGTTACTGGATCTTAGTGCTGCATTTGACACAATTGACCACAACATTCTTTTAAATAGACTAGAAAACTATGTTGGTATTAGTGGAATTGCACTAGCATGGTTTAAATCATACTTATCTGACCGTTATCAGTTTGTAGCAGTAAATGAAGAGATGTCTTATCGATCACAAGTTCAGTATGGCGTACCACAAGGCTCAGTACTGGGACCGCTGCTGTTCACTCTGTACATTGTTACGGCTGTGCTTTGTGCTTTTCCTCTGTGTGTGTGTGTGGTGTGTGTATGCTTCCCCTGCAGGTGTGTTGCGGAGTTGTGAGGAGTAGCTAATCAGGCGGATTGGTGACACCGGGCAGACAGGTGTGGCCGTCCTTTAAGAGCGTCCTGTTTAGCATCCTCTGGAGAGCGTTCCTTTCTATCTTGTCGATCCCTGGCCAGGACCGAGCGAGTGTGGCGTCGCGGCGTGAAAAGACTTCTTGAGAAAATAAAGAATTATTGTGACCGTCTAAACGCCTTATTTCCTCCTTTATTGTTACTCCTTACTTAGGAGTGTAACAATTGGGGGCTCGTCGAACTAAAATAAGCAATTTTGTGATTGGTGCGGATTACTCGAGTAAAGTGTCGTCGTGGAAGGAGGAGAAAAGGTAGGATAGTTTGGTAGAAATTTGTTTAATATCCACCTATTTGTAATTTGTAGTATAGGAACGCTCCATTAGTTGGGAGGCTCTACGCAATTTACACATATTGTTTGAGGGTGTGTTTTGAGGAACGAACAGAACCCAGATAGGTTTAGTGCATGTCTTCGGGCATGTAGTTTGTTTTTTTAGTTTGTTATTTTTGGTTGGCTTGGGGCTTAGAGCAGTGGTCTCGGGAGCACATCCGAGGTTTGGGGGACGGCTCGGCAATTGGTTGTCTTCCCAAACTTATGGGCTTTAGTGCATAAATACCCGGTCTTGGGCCAACTGAAGATTAGGGTTTACTTAGTTTAAAAGGGTTGGTTTAGTTTCCTTAAAATAAACCCGGAGTTGTAAAAAAAAAAAAAAAAAAAAAAGTATTTTCTTCCGTTTGATTTAGTTGCTGAGCGTAAGTAGGGTTGATTACTGTAATTATGGCGACGGATGCTGTTGAAATGTTTGTTCAGACTCCGTCTGAGGAATTGTTAGAAGGTATGACGAAAGAGCAGTTGTTGAAGTTGGCCGCGCATTATAAAATCGAGCTAACCTACATGCAAAAAAGGTCAAAAGATGGAATTAAGGTAGTACTTGAGCCTGCATTGTGTGACCTTAAAATCTTGTTGAGAAAGGAAGCTAGGGTGCCTGATACACCTGTGTTGCCGGCCGTAACGTCGGTCGTAAGTACTGATTTCCTGGCGGATCGTCCGCAGTCGGTATTAGGTACACTTTCATTTGAACAACAGAGAGAGCTGTTGATAATACAACGTGATACAGAGTGTGAGAAGCGACGTTTAGAGTGTGAGAAGGTACGGTTGGAGTTAGAATTGGAGGAGAGCCGACAACAGCTTGAACAACAGCGGTTGCAGATTGAAAAGCGTCGACTAGATCTACGCGAAGAAGGTAAGCCAGTGGGTGCAGGGTTTGATTTTGATTCAACGAGACTGAGTGTAGCTCATCATTTACGTTTGGTACCGCCGTTTAATGAGGTAGAAGTTTTTTTTCTCCTATTTGAGCGAGTCGCGGTGGCGTATAAATGGAACGATATAGAACGCGCTATGTTGCTTCAGTGCGTTTTAACAGGTAAAGCCCAACTAGCTTATTCTACGCTATCTGATGCTGACAGCCAGAAGTATGAAGTCATTAAAGCGGCGGTATTAAAAATTAATGAGCGTGTGCCAGAGAGTTACCGACAAGAGTTTCGTTTGTTACAGCGTAATTTAAAAAAAAACAAATGTTGAGTTCGTAAGGGAGTTGACTGTCCAGCTTGATCGTTGGTGTAAGGCGGCAGAAATTACGACATTCGATGGGCTGAGAGTGTTAATTTTATTTGAACAATACAAGAATACAGTTCCTGAAGTTATAGCTACGTATGTTGTGGAGCGTCAGGTTAAAACTGCTTCAGAAGCTGCATTGCTGGCTGACGACTGGGAACTTATTCATAAGCCCCGTTCAGAAAGATTCGGTGAACGTCAGGGTCATACACGGGGGAATTATTCATTTGTTCCTAATAGTCCAGCAAGGCGTTTTGTTAAAACATCAAGTGAGTATGATAATTGTAACTATTGTTTGGCTAAAGGACATTGGAAGTCAAATTGTCCAATTCTTAAGTCAAAGATGTCTAATACAAAGTTTGTTGGTCAAGATTTTTCTGTAAAGCCTGCTGTCCTGGCTGCTCCTGTTCCTGTGTTGAGCCGGGCCAGAATTTTGAAAGGAACACCAGTAATAGCGCCCGAGTGTGTAGAGAATAGCCAACAGTTATTTAAACCATTTCTGATGGTTTTGTGTCGCTGCCAGGAAAGGTTGATAAAGTAGCAGTGAAAATTCTTCGAGACACAGGTTCATCCGAGTCTTTCATTCTGGAGTCTGTGTTGCCTCTCTCAACTGAGTTCGCTTTTGATTCGCAGAATTGGGCTTAATACGATATCCGTTCCCCTGCATAAAGTTAATTTGATCTGTGATTTAGTGCATGGGGTGGTGGATCTTGGTATACGCCATTTTTTACCTGTTGGTGGTGTCTTACTGATTCTTGGAAATAATCTAGCCGGCGGCCGCGTTTGGGGTGATGAAGTGCCCTCTTTGGTCGTTACTGATGCTCCTTCCTGCATTAGTGGACCGGATGAGAGTGCGCAACAGTATCCGAAAGTGTTCGTTGCTTGTGCGGTAACTCGTTCTGGGGCTCAGCCGAGAGCTGAAGGGAAAGAGAGTGAGACTGAATCGTGTTTCGATATGAGTAAGTATCCTATTGTAGTTTCTCGAGAAGAGTTGTCCAGTGAACAGCAAAATGATGAAACATTAAACTCACAATTTGAACAAGTTGTTAATAGTACTGAGATTCGAGACAGAGCACAAGGGTATTTTATTGAACAGGATGTGTTACTGAGGAAGTGGTCTCCGCATGCTATTGAAGGTATGGGAGATTCTGTCATTCAGGTCGTGATTCAGTCATTCAGAAGTTTCGCCCGTTGGTGTTGAAAATGGCCCATGATCAGCTTGCCGGGCATGCTGGTGTTCAGAAAACATATGATCGAATTCTTCGCTATTTTTACTGGCCACGTATTAAAAAGGACGTGGCCAGTTTTATTAAGACCTGTCATATTTGTCAGCTGATCGGTAAGCCGAACCAGTCGTTAAAGCCAGCTCCTCTGCGTCCAATCCCGGCTGTATGTCAACCGTTCGAACATCTTA